TGCTTTCTTTTTGAATATAATCTATATTGAATTTATTCATATATATATTTCAATATCTTAGATATCGAAATATAAATAATATAATTGATTCAGAATATATTTTATTATATATTTATTATTTCATAATTTTCTATTCTATTTTTAATTTCATAAATAAGATCATATTATTTTAGATCAAATTTCAAATAAGATCATTATATTCTTATATATCTATTTATTTTCATAATATATGATTATAATTATTTTGAATATTATTTTTAATATTGATATCATAATCTTGATAATTTTAATATTTTCATTATATTCATATGATATATATTAGATCGAATAAGAGATAATTCGATATATTAATAATCGAATCTTCGATTCAATAATCTGCTTGAATCTATCAATAAAAAGATATGAATTAGATAGAGAATTTATATTTAAAATCTGATATTTATTTTTATCGATAGATTCAGGCAAATTATCAGATTCATGATCTATTTCGAAAATAAAATAATCAGATTATGATCATTATTTGCCATTCCCATTCCCATCTTCTTCTAAATCAATTCCCTACAATCCTTTAAAATCATTTCATAGGCGGAGGGACGACTATGAATATCTCATATTTATTTATATTTTAATATGATGCTTCCGAATAATTCATTATATAATAAATATTATTTGAATTTTTTTCATAATTCAAGATAAATATCTAAATTTTCAAATTAGATAAAATATATAGAATTATTTTCTTAATTTATATGAATCATATATATATATAAATAGCGGAGCAAAGAGATTAGATTAAATTTTCTTAAATTTTAAATTAAATTTTCAAGCTCATAATAATTATCTATAATTAAAAATAACGAATTCAATTTATATATAAATATTGATTCTCTCAATTTCGATTCTATTGATTAATATTATATATATCTAAATGATCAATATATATTCTAATCGATAAGAAAAATAAAGATATTAATCTAATATATTCTTATATAAGATATGATTAATTTTCAATCGATTTTAAGATCTATTTCTATAGACTTCGTATAGCCCCAAGAGATAAAGAATTTGACCGATTAATTGAGCATCAAATTAATGATCATAAATTAGTCGTCCTTGCAAAATGAGTGCACGATAATGCCAGATTTCTGATTTAAATAGGAAGGAATTTCAAGCAAATAGATTATGCCAAAGCTTTAAGGTTTATCCATATTTTATTGAAACAGATCCGTCCTCAGGGTCCGTAAAGCCTGTCAAACGCTCAAATTCATTGCTTGCTTGCCCATTTCATTTTTTTATATGCTAAAATCTCGTTCACGCCAATATTCGCGCTCAATAATTATATGATTTAGACGTTCAAGCTCCCGCTCGCAAACAACTTATAGCTTAAAAACCTGAGGTTTTAAGGAATCTATATGACAAGCCTAACCATATACGCTCTCTATTCTTATTCTTTGCAATATATAGCATTCTTTCTTGGATTCTGTTGCCAAATAGGACTTAAATATATTTAATAAATTGGATCGTGCTGCTTTTATTCATCCCCGACTTATTGAGCAGATCTTGAATAGAATTATATCTCGAAAATCAAAATCTAAATAAGATAAGAATGGAATTGAGGCTGTCGTAGCTTTCTTGTGTCATGAGCTTGAGAGGCAAGTAGAGGATACGCATCTTTTCAATTTTTCGATATATTCCGGCGAGAAAATCAATTTGAAATATTATTCTAAAATATTCTTTCGAGAAGATCTCGGCAGAGATTGTCGACGGTACCTGCTCAGACAGGTGCCTCAGCATCAAGATTACTATCTTGGAGCAAATCTTCTAGATAATGATATCTTCTTGATACGATTTCTTGAGAATACTTTATGTCAAAAGAATATAAATTTTATTCTTCAAATCTTTTGTTGTTCGTTTCCCACCAAATTTTTCGTGCATACGAATCATCGTACAATCCCTTTATTCTGGTTCTATTTTCCCAGGTCCTCGCTTGCAGGTAGCAAGACTCTGTAGCACAGATCTATATCCAGAATATGGAATGCGAGAAAATTATGAAGATTTTTTTTATATTATCCCCCGATTCTCAGGGATACGATCAATCCGTGGTCGCGAGGATAATATTTCATATTTTTATGGAATCTTTTTAGAATATGATAAAGAATTATATGCGGCAATCTTAGTTCTTAAAGTCGCATCTAGAAATATCTCTCTCATATCTGATTATGCGATTTTACGAGCATTGCCATATTATTGCAAGCACATGATTTTACTGCACTGATCAAAATCATTGTCTTTCTAATCCTTATTTCGGCGGCTTTTCCTTTGCTGCTGGAGATAAAGTCCATCAAGGGGGGCGGCATAACTCTCTTCATCAAGATATATTGGTTCAAATACCGACTTTCGTTTCGGACGAGAATTGGTTATGAAATATGAAATATACCGATTCTAGATATTGCTGAATATTCTTCTTAATTGATTTTATTATCTTATTAGAATTATGCCGAAGTTTTAATAATAAAATTTTTTCTCTCGACAAAGCTATATATAAATTCAGAGATCTATTCTTTTATTTTCTGAAATTCCATGGCTATAAAATGGAGGCTATCATTGGGCTGAATATATTCAAAATTCTAAGGATAGATAATAATTCTAATTTAATATATTTACGCCACTTCATTTAGAGATTTATATTCTACCTCAATAACAAACTTACCCTTAAAATTTCCTCAATCATTCCTAAATAATTTATCCTTCCATCATAATGAATTCCCTCATATTTTAATATTCCAGATATTCGTGCGACTACGCAAGCATAATATATAAAAGAACTATTATTCAATTTCTATAATTATTTAAAAATTCTTAATATTATCAATCTCTTCTAATAAAAATAATATCGCTCAGAATTTTTAATATTTCTGAATAATTTTCAATCAATTATAAAAATATTCTATCCTTATTAGAATCTTATAATAATTCTTCACCTATCAAAATTTCTTGAAAAAAATCTTCTTCGAATATTTCACGAATATCTAATTAAAATAAGATTTATCGATTCTAAATCTCAGAATTATACTATTAAAATAAATATTATCATCAAAAATTTCTTAATCTTGAATAATATATAAATAAAAGGAATCAGATCAATCCCATAGAGAGAGCTATAAATATATAATGCCCCAAATAGACGTCCAATCAATTATCTAGATAAATTCAACATCTAGCCAGATAAATTCAGATATCCAATAAAAGATAAAGAGGTACACAGAAAGATATATAAAGAGATATATGAAGAGATCCATAGAACACTATATAAAGAAATATCTAAAGAGACATAGAAATAGATTTCTAAATAAATACGCTCTCATATTCAGAGATACGCACGCATAAAGAGACCTACATTCAGAAAACCCGGCACTAGAGCTTGCAATTCTCAAATTTTATGACTACGAGCATATCCAAAAAATTCTTCGCAAATAGATGCATCCAACACGACTTCAAATTATTAGGATTTTTTTTAATCATTAATCCGAATAAAGAAATCTATAGAAAAAATTTCAATAATAGAATTATCTTATATAATGCAAAAAAAAATAATTATATTTTCTAATTTGAAAATATAATATATTTCGTCTATATCGTCCTAAGAAAAATATATAGAGAAATTAATAAATATCCTTGAAATATATATATTATTTCATATAGATTGAATTCGTAATGATTGACATGAAATCATAAATTAAAAACGAATAGAAAGAAGATTCAATAATTTGAGATCCCTTTTAATATCAAGTTTGATATCTGGGATCCAATATATATTCCCAATAATAATCTAGAGAATTTCGGATGGGACGAATTCCTCCGAAACCTCTAAAATTTAAGAATTCGGGGTCCTCGAATCAGAATTTACCGACGAATTCAGACGAAATTCGTCCGAGAATAGCAGGGCAGAGTGAAATCCCGAATATTTCGTTCTCGTCCTTTGAGGCACGTAGGTCCGGAATCTTCTCGATCTACATACAGGTAAAAGTAGCAAGTCGTTGGGGAGATGTTTGTCAATCTGTTCATCGTCTTCCTTACCATTCGTGTAACCGTAGTAGTCATCCATGTTTCAGTTGCAGCTGCGCTGTGCCGCTACAGTTGTACATTGATTGCTGTGCAGTTGCTACAAATTAGAATGCCAATCAGGCTGCTTGATGTTTCTTACCATCGGTCCTCCACCGCTTCTGATATCGCCATTTTGACTACGGGAAGCAACTGCTGAAGCATGCGCATTAACTTGTGCTTTGCCAGGGGGTGGTCAATAAACTGTTTCTGCTTGCAAAGGCAGCTCATCAAAATAGAAAACTGAAGCAACCCAGCCTGGAGCCCAAGGAGCCGGGAGGGCCAACAGAACAGAGATTCCATTAATGCGGTTCCGGCGATCCTTATTCTGGTATGTAGATCCTCGGATTATGCATGCCGCTTTAGGATATATAGCCTTTTGCAAGAGCTTCGCTACCGAAAGCATGCCCTCCACTGCAGTGCCCGTTTGGATGATTTTTTGGCGCGTCGCAAAAGAGTGGCTCCTGCGTTGAACTCTGGCCGGAACAGGATGGAAAAGCGCAGGCTCAGCACTCCGCACCCTGAGAGAATATTGAGGGTAAACGGGCATCATCTCTGGATACTGGCGGCAAGATCAGGTTGACATCCAGCTCTGCTGTGCGGGATATGTACACAAGGCTTCATTATGAGGTACCTGTCGACCATGTATTTCCAGCAGCAGCTGAAAAAACCCAAGGAACGTTTTGGATTCATGGTTGGTCGCGGATATTTCGGTTTGACAGTGTCAGCCACGCAGTGCAACGATCCAAGCTCATGCTGTGGACTGTGATAGATCATGACAAATCTGTCTGGACCAGAGCTGCACCGGGTGCAAGCCAAATTGAAAGCCAGAACGATTCCCGAGCATTCCTGAGAATGACCTGTTGACCTAGCTTGAGGTCCGCAGTCTTGCCGCTAAGACATCCACTCCGTACAAGGCCGGCTTGGCTCTGACGATCAAAATCGAGAGTCTTTGCTGAGTCAGACATGCGCATTCCTTCGGCCAGTTGCAGAGCCGGCGATGCCTGTTGGGGAAAATCTTGGTGCCGGTAACTAAATCATATTTAGGTTCGGAGAGCCCTACTTAGCCCACAATCCGAGGCCGAGTTGGGCAGTCGTATGGTCGAAACGAAGTGAAGCATGCTTTCAGAGGCTTTAGCTAGATTTGCTCGTGCCGCAGACTAGGCCCTAGGCTCTTGCGATGCTGCGTGCTCGAGATACTCAGCATGAGGCAAGGCCTTCGGCCGGGACGCTCGCAATGGCTTCTGATAGCATCTGGAATGACTATGGAAGAAGCCATGTCTCTGACCTCTCCGGGGCGGTCTGGGTTTGGTCAGTGGACGCTCCAATCGGCACTGCGGCAACCCGGCATTCCAGCGTGAGAACGCCAACCACATCTTATATCACTCCCATTCGTGACAGTGGACTAAATAGTTGACTGGTTTGGTGTAGGAGCCGCTCGCTCGTTCTTGCTTGAATGCTTGAAAATTCCGTCAGCATTTCGTCATAGCTGGAAGTGATATGTGCTACAGCTGGCGAGCATTAAAAGTTAAAGGATTCGCCACTCGGCTGAATCCAGTCTGGTGGTCTTGTTGCATGGCACCAGGACGACATTGCTGTTGGCAGTCCCGGGAAGCCCAGTAGAGCCGGTTGAGGGGGCGAACAAGGCACGAAGCCTAAATAGATCCTATTTCGCGTCTACAGTCTGTCGAGATGCTACCTATGTAATCCTTACAGTCAATGTGATCCTCCACCAGATGGCCGAAGGTGCCAACATGTCTAAGGTCCAGTGCCTCAGGCTTCTTGAAGAGACACACAGCTTGTGTGTGGTACTCTACTGCTTTCCGTTACAACGACTTCGACCAGCAAACGGCCTCTGTTCGCAGCTCCCCTTCGGGGAATCCTGCAGCAGCGCAGCACACCTGGGAAGTTATAGGCAGGCTGGAAGATGCAAGCAGTCAGTGCCGGGGCCAACCCGGTTGCACAGATTTGGCCCGATCGCTGGCGGCACATGCAGCGGCGGGGCTCGGAAATCTGAGGCCACGTCTGCAAACAGAAAGGCATCGACGTGGATGGCTTCGTTGCGCATTATAGCGAGATGAGAGATTTGCCCGCCTCAGTTGCGGCTCCGGCATGCGCCGACCCAAAAGCACAAGCAACCAGGCAGACTTCGATTGAACGAACCGCAAGGGTCGACTTCAACCTTTAAGGCAAGATCTTGTTCAATGCCACGACGATGCAACATCTGTCAAGCATATCCCGTTCCGAAGTACCCACGCCAACGTTAGCACCGTCTCCGCCACCTCATTCACCCTGTGGAAATCCATCCCGTGAGCACCAACAAATGCCTAATCCGAGATCGGGGAATCCCTGGTATCTGCAGACTGAGGTGCTTTAGACTCTGGCTTGGGGCTTGGAGCGGACGACGAGGATGCCGAGGCGGGGCTGGCTCCAACCTCTCCTGGAGGCCGCCTGTCACGACCAAGAGTGCTGCTGATGCCCTGAAACTCATGCACGCTGCAAGTGCTCTGTGTTGGTTCGGGATGGCGGCGCGGGCAATACTCTGCTATTCTGTTGCAACCCTCTCGCCCGTGTTTTCTCGGGGCGGATACCTCTTTCTGTTGAAGTCACCGGAGGGCGCCACTACTAGTAGCTTCTGAGTATCAAGAACTGCCAGTCCAGACCAGAAACCTGGCACACGTAGCAAAACGTCCCAGAAGCCATCTTTTTACGATGCTTCCTACCACTTGAAAAAACAGAGGCACTAGTCTGAAGCACAACGAATGCCCAGAATTCGCAGACAAGACAGAAGGGTACTGCACTCATAGCTTCAAGGAGGGCACTGCTCCGGACTGCGTCTACAACAACGAACAAGTAGATGTTGTCGGTGTCGTCGTTGTAGTAGTAGTCGTCGCAGTGGTAGTAATAAGCACTCCGGCTCAGCTGTGTCCCAGCAGCGGGACTCACAGTTGTGGAGGCGGTAGCATCTATGCCATGCAGCAAACCTTGCGGTGGAGTCCGGCTCCGAGCTTGGCCAGCCCAAATGGAGAGGGCTAGCCGGCTAGCTTTCGTACATCTTCGTATGCAAAATGCCTGTACCTGTGCTCCCACATATCCAGGATGGTGCTTCCAAGGTCTCTTATGATGGACATGTGGTTGCTGTTGGACTTGGCCAGACGGTGCGCTGCGCAAAGCATGGATGTTGCGCCAGGAGCAAGGACCAAGGGCGCAGCGGCAGAACACAAGCACTAGCCTATGCCGGCCAGACATTTGCCTGGTGCGCGGACATTTGGAGGACTTAAGGGTGCGGCGATCTGGAGTCGCCAGAAACCACTCCACATTCATGAAGTGTTTGTCAGAATCCATGCGACTTCGCTCACGAATGCTCGCGAGAAGGGTGCCATGAACTCTTATCATCGGCTCCCTTGCGTGAAGCGGTTGTGCGAAGCGATTGGGTGATCAACACGCCCTTTCGTTGCTGAGCACAGCAGGTACGTTTCAACAAAATCGTTACAGGACGGCTGGCCCAACGGCAAAGTTTTGATGAGGCATGCCCCTTGTCAGTCATTGTCGCGCAAGGTGCACCAGCTACGGCAGGAAGCAGTGTGCCCGGTTTCTATACTGTGATTAGGATCCACTGTATGTTTTCAGACGGCAGGAGGCATTCTCAATGCTAACTGGCTGAGTGGGTGCCCTGAATGTCCACAAGGATACGATGCCAGAGAATTCCCTGAATCTTACAGCCATCGGTGCAGGTGGGAGATGTTGCGAACTTTCTCGAACTTTCCTTGATTATCTGTATCAGTCGTTTTGCACCAAAGCTATCTACTGAGCACCGGTGCTACACAAAAAACAAAGGCATCAAACGCCCTACTGGCAATTAGAGGCTGCCAAGGGACTGCAGCCCGGGCACTCTCGGAGCCAATTCTTCTTCCTCCACCTTGGTTCGCAGCTGATCTGACCGCTTACGGGGAACCGGCCAGGCCCTGCGAATGCCCTCGCAAGACTAGCAATCTGAAAGCTGCTGCTATGCCGGTATCAGCTAATTCCAGGAACAGGCGCAGCTTGTCCCAAACGTGCAAGAACTTCATCCTCATCTTTCTCGCCCAAGCCCTTCAAAAGGCTTCGCATGTATGGGCTTGTCTCTGCAATCCTCGTGCAATCATGGAGGGCGCAGGTCTGTCAGCATCGAAGCTACAGCATAACCATGCCACGTTTGCAAATGCGCGCGTCAGTGCTGGCAAGGTACTTTTCCAGAGCTTTTTTCTTTTTGTCGGGGTTGTCCTTGCTACGTGCAAGCAAAACCATGTGCACGGTGCTGCCCGGCAGCAGCTTATGCATGAAATTGACCGCGACTTGTGAAGTGGCCAACACCAGCGACTCAGCCAAGGTCCTTGTACTCCTCGTAAATCTTCCTTTGTTAGTTGTCACTTGCCAGAAACTTCAGGCCATGACACAAGACTTTCACATCAGTGGCCAAGTTCGGAGCATTTCGTGGAGGGGAATAAAGCTGCAGCTGAGGGTCTGGATTGTCTGCTTATACTGTTGCCGTGCTGCTTTACACGGGCGATGTCGGTTCTTCTTGCTGTCCATGTGGCTGGGATGCTCCTGGCCATGCTGTGAAACCAGCAGCCAAGAGCACTGATCTTTGATTTGCTTGGCCCCAGTCTGTACATGTAGCGGCTGTAGCCATGGAACCACTCCCGGCCGAGCACTCTGCCAAGCTGCAAGATGGCAGAACATGCAGCGAGCACCGAAATCGCAGCCTGCCAACTTGAAGCAACATCGATGGCATGCACGTCTGAGGTGCACGCAGGAATGCCCCTTCGAGTCTACTTGAAAGCTGGCTGGGGACGAGGTAGATTGGGGCTCCTATTCATATACTAGGCATATACAGCATATACACCTATACATTCGTATCGAATATATATATATGTATATATATATATATATAGACAGATATAGATATAGATATAGATATGTGCATATGGATACTATTTCTTGATTGCTTGCTTGCTGGGGACGCGCCCCCGGGCCAAAGATACACGGATCTTGCTTGCTTGCGAGGGGTGCGGACCCCCGAAGGAACCCTGGCCCGAAGGCCTGCCCCCAAGGTTCGCGTCTGTCAAGCGTTGAGGCCCCATATACGGATCTCTCTTTCTTTCTTTCCGCAGGGACCCTCACCACCTACTGTTTGTGCTGCGCATTCATCAGATCGCCAGAATCGTCCAACGCCATCCAAATACGACAGGGAGAATCAGACGAGACCGAGATCGAGAGGGGAGCCGCCCAGGTCCTGAGACTTTCGAGGAGTTCCCCCAGAGTGTACAGAGAGGGCTACAACGGTTCCCTCTTCAGACGTGAGCCAAAATGGCCGCGTCCCTTTAAGGGGTCCTGTATACACAGTGCCATTGTATTTTTGGGACCCCAGTGTGGCACCCACATGACTCATAGGATGCGGCTTTGACGAAGGCATACGCCGAATCCAAGCCACAGAAAGATGCCCACTGTGTCAAAGGGTACCAGCCCGGGCCTGGTCTCACCAAAATCCTGGTGCATGGGGTACACTTCCCACGTCCATGTCCCTGGCAGGCAAATTTTCGATAGTGCCAGTGGGATACACTACTGGCATGCAGTTGCTTTTACGCGCCCTGATGCCGGTTTTCAAACTTCTGCGAATCTCTGGCATCATCGTTGGCAATCTGTGAATCACCACCCGACAAGCCAATGTCAAGGCCTTCGCGCCAATGGACTGCCCGTACTGTGGCTGGTAGTCATCGTCAAGCAACTCCTGTCATCTTTAGTATCAGTCATGCAGACGTGAGTGGAAGGGCTTGCATCGCACATCGGACATGTGACAATTTGATTTCAAAATGGCAAGACAATGCAAGACACCTGTGCTGTCCCGATCTCGCCTCAATGGCCTCCATCCGAGATTGAGCTGCCTGTGCTCCCTGCACATCATCTCTGGGTGGGGGCGGCTGCCGTCGAGAGCTGGCCGACGATGAGCCTGACAATCTGGAGCTGCTACGCACCGCTCGGCAAGCTGCGGCGAGCTGCTATTTTTGGGATCGGATGGTCGGATCCCCTGAAGTCACAAGCCAAGCCAAGCCGCTCTGGAACTCGTGTAAGGCATGGTCCCAACTTTCGCTCTCCAAAGCTGAAGATGAAGATGAAAAAGAGTTCCTAGGCGATCACTGCGCTAAGAGATCTGAGGCGCTGCTTGTTGACCGTGAGCCAACGTCGTCATCGTGTGCTTTTGACTAGCAGCAGAAATGAAGACACCAGGAGCCATCCATGCAAAAAATTGACTCAAGCTGATAGTTTTGTAGGCAGACTCATGTCAGTCCGCAGCTCCTTCTCGGATCGAGCTCTAACGGCATTTTTTTCCTGGCTCACTTCCCACTGTCCACGACAGGCCAAGCCCGCGTTCTTGAAAGGGCAAGGTTGGGGGGTTAGCCACCCAGCTGCCCTCAATTCAGACTGACAGGCGTGTGAGTGGGGTACTGCGCAACATTCATGACAAAAGCATGCAGCTGCAAACCTCATGTCTGTCTACTTCTACTTGCTTCCCGCTGAGGCAAGGTCTCCTCGAACACCGAGTGGTGCGCCTGTGAGACTGCAGTTGTCGAAACGCTTTGTCACGGCGTAGCTACTGTCGTTCATTTTCTTATGAGAACTCAGGTTTTTACATCCGGTCAACTCATCCACTTTGGACTGCAAGCAGAATGCACAACACGCTCCTGTCCACCGGCAGCCACAGAAAACCACTGCTCTTTCTCGGCATCCGCGGAACTGTTTTCGTGACCTGGTGGCTGCCCACAACAGTAACATGGAGCCGATCATTGTGTTTACTTGTCGTCGCCAGTGTTTCTTCAATAATGGTAGCCGAAGGGACGCTGGATACTCAAACCCAGCCCGATAACATCTGATTCTAAGCTAAGGCACAGCTGTTGGACGAAGAGGAACCGCTCCAGCTCTTGCTGCGCGGCCGAGCAAGGCAAAGCAAGCATGAAAAACGGACCGATTACAGTCTCTCAGCATCTCTCAGCTGTGTCTGCTCTTGGCAGTCATGAGCCGAGAGAAGGTCCGATATACCACGACGGCGATGTCCACTGTTTTGCATAGAACATATCTTGCCAGCGCCAAGAACATGCCTCTTTCAACCCCAATTCACCCCAATTCCGTCTGGATGTTAATATTGGCCCACTGTGTCTCAGTCTTTCTCAGTCTTGGCCTGGCTTGTCCTTCTGTGCGTATAACTAAGGAACCAAAGTTCATGCGCACCGCATGCCACCTGCCAAACCTTGGAAGTCGGGCAGCAACATCAAGGGAGGGCCTGGGCCTGGGCCCGCTTTGTTTGTGCTTCTCATCTCGGTTGTCATTTCTCCTGTTCGAGGCAGCAGGGAGAGAAGTTCATGCGTATGGTATTTGTAGAAACCTACGCAAGCGCACCCATGTTTGTCTTGGAGTCCGGCATGTGCGCTATCATACCCCGGCTCTGCCGCAGGCTTCTGGACGAGCCTTGGATAGGCAGTCTCCAACTCGGCGTTACACGTTCACACGGCCACCATACGAGCTGTGAGTTTCCGCCAATGTCACGAATATTCCAAGCACAGCTGCTGTATTGCTGCAGGAACATGTCGGCAAGGTCGGTTCTGAATGCCGCACTGAAGACGGCAAGCACGTCTTTGACTCGTCTGATGCACCAAATCCGAGGCCGCGTCTGACGTGGATGTGAATCGTGGTGCGCTTACAGGGAGATGAGAATTTTCCCCTTAGCTGCAGAGAAGAAGCATGGCCTCCAAAGCCTGCTCGGCGAGGAAAGCAGCTGACAAAAACCGAGGCGCTTTGGATGTCTTGTGGGCTGGATCTTCCGAGGATGCTGAGCTGGGCCTCACATCGTCGGCAGGCCTCCGTTGTGCGAAAGATTGATAGAAAAAACCAACCGAGGGCCTGAACATTTGATTGTGTACACTGCTGAGCTGATACCTCCTAGCCCTCTCTCTCCACACTGTCCTACCGTCTGCTTCCGTTCCGGCGTAAGGGAGTGCGTAAGGGAGTGAAGCACGAAAACGGTGCAGCTATCTCGGTGGCCAACGAAGCGCCATTCAGCTTCGTTACCACACAAAACGGAATCGTCAACAGGTCTTCACCCAGGGCGGGGGTGCAAGTCTTTTGTTGGCAAGGCAGTGCCCAGGCAGTCTGCTGGACACCAAACGCATGGTAGCTACACTATGCATCATCACAAATCAAACGACGATGCAGCGGTACGGGTACTTCAAGTGATATCTTGGAGGTACCTGAAGATGCTGCCCAGGGGCTGCAACCCAGGCACTTTCGGAGCCGGCAGTGCTTCATCCTGAGTGCTTTGTTGCAGTAGTGTCGCTGAAGCTGCAGCTTGCTGGGGCTCAGTTCTAGTATCACAAACGTAGAAATATGTGCTAGTGAAGACAAGATGCAGCCCTGGCAAGGTGTGCAAGGACTTCCTCTTCATCCTTCTCGCCCAAGCTCTTCAGAAGGCTTCGCATGTATGGACTTGCTCCTGCAATCCTTACACCACGCGAAGTCGGAGGGCAGGTCATGAAGTGGATCTACTTGACGTGGAGCCGCAATTGTGCCAAGGCCTCTAACTTCGTTAGATTCCATCGCTCTGGCAATATTTGCTGACAGCAGGCTTCTCCAGAGCCTTCTTCTTCTTCTCGGGGTTGTCCTGCAATGTGAAGAAGCACTCGCTGCTCTTGTTACCCGGCCCACGAACTGCCCAATATACCTCCTAGCATGCGGACAGCAAGAACCGGCCTTGTACTCCTCATACACTTTCCTGGGCAGCAGTCGTTTTGCTCAAAATGCCAGAGTGCGAATGAGTGGGCAGCGGAAACATCGACACAGCACTTTTGGACTGCGTGGCCATGCTGGTAGCTGCAGCCGAAGTTCTGGATCGTCTGTTTGTGTTGTTGCCGTGCTGCTTTGCAAGGGCGATGCCGATTCTTCCTGCTGTCCATCTGGTCGGAATGCTCCTCAGCGTGCTCACCAGTGCTCGCGATGCACACGTAAACGCTCCTGCGAACTTTCCAAGATCTCCCAGCCAAGTTGCAAGATGACAGAACATACAGCGGGAGCCGAATTCGCACCCTGCCAGTTGCCAACGGTTCATGCTCATGTTTCCCTGGTCCCAGTCATTGAGTAACCGACCACCCTGAAACGTGAGCAGATGGGTGACGGGCATTGCAGAAGATTTCAGTAATGTGCGACGTGCGCAAGCCCCAAGGGCGAGATTCGCTCCTCATCTTTCATGTCATTCGAAATACACGTCCAGCTCCCTAGCTCCGTTGCTGATGCTAGACTCTGGACCACCTCTCCACCTAACCTTGCGGGACTCCCACGAACCTTCGGCCACTCGTCCTAGACCATCCTAGACCTTTCCCACGTCAATCTGGCTTTGGGGAACCTGCAAGGAATTATCGACAACAACGGCAGCTCCTGTTGACTGAAAACCGAAGTCCGTGCAGGGATTTAAGAGTGTGGCTTCAACCTTCCTTGCTTGGAGGGTCTCTAAAGCTTCCTCTCGGTGAAGCATAGGACTCTCAAACACATGTAACATTCCACTATGTAACAGAGGCCATTGTAACAGGATGCAAGACGGGACGACGGGGTGCCACACAACGACAGTCCTCGCCAAAACCGTCCAGCCTGGTCGCACCAAAATCCTGGTGCACGGCGTGCATTTCCCACGGCCATGTCCCTGGCGCATGGGTTCTGTTTTGCCAGTGCCTGTCTGACATAGCGGCATAGCGTTTTTCCCATACTACTCGGCACGTGTTTCGGCAAGCTTCTGGCTGCAACTTGGACGAAGTGCAAATCTCAAGCCACGGGATGCCACAGGCTACCAACACAAGGCCTTCGCGCCAATGGACTGTCCGTACTGCGGCTGATAGTCGTCATTTATTTGCTCCTGACATGTGGGCACTCTTTGGCAACCTGTCGTGCCCGCCAGAACCTCTGGCATGGTGAATCCTAGGCTGACCGCAGCACATAGCCGGTCTGTGTGCCTCAATCCGAAGCTGGACTGCAGGTACCACCTGCGCACCATCCCTGGGTGGAGGCGGAGGCGGTGGCAGACGTCTCGAGCTCGGTGATGAGCACTGTGATGAGCCTGGCAGTTTGGCTGCAGGGCTCTGCTTTGTTGCGTCTGCAACGAGCAAACCTAGAATGCATGCCAAGCGGCTTTGGAACTCATGCATAGCACTCTCCCATGGGGTCTTGAACTCTTGCATGGCGTTTTCCCACGAATCGGGATCCAAGGCTGAAGATGAAGAGGAGTTCCTGGGCGATATTTCTTCTGCACCTCCCGAAGACGGTATTGCGAGAGTGCATTATTGTGCTATTGCGTGTCGGGTGAGGCACAGTATGACTTTGAGTGTGTTTTCAGCATGCCCATGGAAGGCAAAAAGCCAAATGAAAGGCTCCAAGGCGTCATAAAGGCCGTTGCGTGCCCTGAAAAGAACCTTAACCGCGATACTTTCTCCTGAGGCGAGGTCTCATCGAACACCGAGTGGTGCGCCTGTCGTGGCATTCAGTCGGACTCTGGCAGTGGACACCAAACATGAACACCGCCCTCGTGCTCTACATACCTACATACCTGCACCGTCGGTGACTTGCACTCTGCCGGTGCCTGTCCACTCACTGTCACGGAGAACCACTGCTCTTTCTCAGCATCTCCGGAACTGTTTTCGTGACCTGGGCTGGTGGCTTCAGGAACTGCTCGGCACAAAGGCGACGACCTCTTTTGCGTGCTTTTGAAGGACGACGCTGCCAAGGCGATTTTGCCAAGTGGCAGCTGTTGGACGAAGAAGAGCCGCTCCAACTCTTGCTCCGCCGTGGTCGAATAGATTTGGGTCCGACGTCCTTTTCTTGGGGCAAAGTGTCATACGCGAGCCACACAAACTCAGCCTGAAACAAGCCACACTGACCATCACTGACGCGTGCCCATAGGTCCTCTGATGTCTGCACTTCCAGAAACGTATTTCTCACCTGCGGTGCGGAAACCATCCTTCGTGCTGCACTGTGGCTTGCAAAGCTTTGAGGTGACCCCGCCTGCACCATATGAAACTGCATGTCTGACCCAGCAGAAGCCATGGTGAAAGTGCCGGCAGAAAAACAAAGACAAGCAGAACCACAACAGATGTAGCTGCAACGCCAAACACATCTTATGTTGAAGTACCCTGAACCCTACTGTAAACTTTGGGGAGAAGGAACATCTGGGCAGGCTCCCGGGCCCACGCGCTTTGACCAGAAGCTGGCAGAGGTTTCACTTCTCAACGGCCACAGTCTGCAAGCATTCTTCCAAATTCTAAACGTGTGTCTGCTGCTTGCTGATCCTACTTCTGCACCGACAAGGAGGTTCCGTGCTCCTGCAGACCTTCTCAAGGCTGTTTTCGAAGCTTTATTGGTCATCCGGCCAGATGTCGCATGATCTTTTTGCGAACACAATCGGAATATTGTCGTGCTGGCCAAGCCATGGCGTGCCACTCAGGGCACAATGAAACCGACTTTGCCGGAGATCTTCAAGTGTGATGCTGATTCCGGTAAGAGAGATGGAATGCGATGAAAGGTCTGTATTGTCGCCTAGAAGCTTTTATCTACACACCGAGCTCGTGTGGTGAGACTGTGCTGCAAGCCAGAGTCAGAAAATGTTATGCCTGCTAACGGCTGATGGATTACGCCTGCTCTGGCTTATTTTCAGTGATCACGAGGTTTCATGCTTCGCATGCGCCTCGTTCCCACCAGAAATCTGTCTAATTGGTTTTCGCACTACGCCAAGAGTCGTTGCGGCCATCACACCTGCAAGCCTCTCAGCTTCATCCCAGCAGCTGCGGACCCTCTTCTCCTGTCCATGGAAAGGAGCTTCAGGCTACATCGAGGCTGCGGCTTGCAAAACAACAGCAATGCAAGGATCATTCCAAAAGTGCAAAGAAGTCTGGACGTGACTTATGAGGAATCTGCTGTCATCCAGACAACAACTTGGGCTGCCGCTTGAGGTTTTCGCTAGATTCCTTTCTCTCTTCGTACATGGGAACCGCGACGGTAAAGCACCTCGCCTCGGTGACTTGGGCAGCTTCACACAACATCTCCAAATGAGCGATGTTTTTTTATTTTGTTTCAATCCTAAGGACGCAAAAACCTTCCGCGCCTCGAAGCGTTGGCACGTTTGTGAGTCACTTCATCTCGTCGTTTTGGGGTTCAGGGACGGTTTAGGGTTGCAGGGTTTAGAGTCGAAGGTTGGAGGGCCATGGATCCTTAAGAGATGGTCCTACAAACCCACGGAGCGCCCCAATGAAACCCACGAAACCACCGAATGCAAGGAGCCCATGAAACAACCCGTGCCCTTCTGCGAGCCGTTTTAATCATGGACAAGTTTTGCGAGCGAACGCTTCCGCAAGAGCATAAGCCCCACTTGACGTATACGTTAGCTTCTTTCAGTGTCTGCGGGCACCATGTAGTATGAAACCGCCAACAGCTAGGTTCATGGTTGTGTTCATAGCCGGATTTAGGGATTTGGGGATAGGCAAGTTCGAATTGTTTCTACTGATGTATCCCTCACTGCCCTCGCTAGCTTAATTAACATAGAAAGTCCTTTCTGTACACCAATGCACGTTCTATCATGTTCGGCTGCTACACTACGCTTGCTCACGACACAGCTCTTGATTACGGGCTTCCGCGCGGCTTCCGCGCTATCCAAGCCGCAACCCGGTATTCGTGTGCCAGATGAACAGGACTTCCACTTGGTTCATGGGGGTGCCTCGGGATTCCTGGAAGCAGCCCTGAACCCCGGAAGAGTACAACATTAGCTGGTCCAAGCAATATTGTATGTTTCTTTCGAAACATGTGCGCTTTGGGCGAGGCGACTTTCCGCATTGGGTGCTTAACTTTAATCTTCCGTAAAGAAACGGACAAGAAACGCAGCTCAAATGGCAAGACCACGGCAAGTTCAACCTCGCCAGTTACAGTACCAGCTGCTGGCATTCCAATAGGTCTGGCGTTTTGCTGCAGCATTGGGCGCACTTTTCCGGCGATGCCCGGAAAAACGAGCAAACGTGTTGACATGCTCAGGGCCAAACGAAGTCGTATCTCAAGGGCATGAGATCCTGCTGGTAGTTCGGCGCTTCGTACCTTTCCCAATGGGATGAATCGCAGCAATGCAGATCAAAGTCTTGACGATCAAATGGCAGCTTCATCTGCTTCCCCGTTTCGGAAATCCTCAGCAGCACACCAAGAGATCAAATCAGATCTGGTTCGCCAGCACGATGCGCAAACTGCCTTCCAGCCATAAGGAACGTTGACTTGAAAGTTAGTTGCCTTTGGAGGGACTCTCCTCAACAGCACGAGCCTATCTGGCTTGCCGGAGCATGAAATTCAAACAAGTGCGGTGCCTGTACAGGAAACTCGTTCACTAAAACGCCACTGATGCCTCGGTGGTCAGTGCGGGCTTCCACATGTCACGAATTCACAGGTCCAAACTTGCTCTATCGCACCGTGCTCAGTGCCGTACCTTCTGCAAAAAGCAGGTTGCAAATGGTCCCGATGTCCTTGGGAGCCTCTGAAAGTCGTCCGCGGCGCTGTAAAATGCAACAAAGCTTGAACGATCCAGCTCAGGCGGCATAAACTCTACATCTACTTGCTGGCCGGAAAGCCAGACCCTTAGCACGGCTTGTCCCTCGCGCCTTGGCTGCCAATCGCTTGTACATATCCACGTAGCGTTGCATCCTGTGCAAACGTTAATGCTGTCATAAAGGATTCCGTGACAGCCTCAGTCGTAACTATGCTAGATCTGGAGATTGTAGTAGCTAAGGAACCAACAATTGATTGCTGCACCAGTAAACACCTAGCCGCTGCCACTGCTACTCTCCTGCTCCTCCTCCTCTTCCTCTTCCTCCGCCTCCTACTACCCCACCACCACCACCACCGCCGCCGCCGCCGCCGCAGGCAGCAGCAGCAGCAGCAGCAGCAGCAGCGCCATCACCACTGCTGTATCCGCCACTACCGCCACCACAAACACGTCAGGCTGAGCCTCTGCCATGTGCTCACACCGCCAACTACTGAGGCATCCACGGTCTGAACGACTCGACTTTGGCAATCTCCAGTAGCATCAGCTTGTCACCTGAATCTTATATTCTGGGCAAATCTGAGCCAATCCACTTCGAACTCTTTGTTCTGCTGCTACTGCTTCACACTTCCATGCCTGTAGCAGCTCTCTTCTTGGTGCCCTCGAAGCCCGGCACAAGGCCTGATCTCCAAGTGGGAACTGTCAAAACTGACAGCCCCTCGGTGTGCTGCATAACTTGCGCACACCCGTTTGCATCTGAAACAAGAAGTCTTCCTCAGCACGTCGCCATCGACCGTGTGAAGACTCATCTTCGTCAGCGGGCTACGATGCTTCATGAGTTCGAAGACCTGGGAGGAACAGTAGCAAGCCACGGCCGCAAAGCCAACTAATTCGTCGGTGCATGCAGTCACACAATTACCTGCCAACTTCCTGCATTTGTAGCAGCACACCCAGTCAAAGGAATCTCCCTGAAGTGAGGAGACAAGGGCCAAGGCCTGATCAGAGGACCACCAAGAATGCACCTGGACTTGCCGTCCAGCTCCGCGGGTGCGCATGCCGAATGTCTGAAGAATTGCCCAGGAAGACTTGCGACCGAACCGTCAGAGGCTCTGACGGCTTCCAGATCCTTGAAGCAGGCCACGAGGACAGTCTCAAAGTCGAACACGGCTGGATTCAAGTGGTTGGGTTCCTCAATGGCTGCGCATGACGTGTTTTTCCACTTCGTCCAGGAGCAGGACAGCCCAGCATGCCCGTACGTCTCACTGTAAGGCCCCTTCCACGTTGTGGTCCTTCCCATCCATGATATCCCACAAATCGACCTGATCAGACCTGACACATTTCTGACACGCTTTTCGTTCCTGAACGGAAATTGATGTAAAGCAAACTGACAGGAGAAACCAGCAAGAACGCATTTGGGCAGCTTCTCCGTTGCTGCTTTCCAGGACCGCGCCATGACACGACTGGAACCTGAACATGCCTCGTCGCGTGGAATTCCGCCTGGCTTAACTTGTGACATGCCACCTCCACGACACTTGCAAGGGTTTGCGGCCGCTTGACTGCGCAGCGATTTCGCGCGAACTCTCTAACCTCCGGACCCCACCATGCATCTCACCGTGCATGAAAGCAGATTGCTTGGCAGCCGGCCGGACGCACACCTTGCCCCCATAAGCCTCCACTGTTTGACGGGGATAAGCTTTTGCGAAAGACGACGGGTCTTGTTGCTGGATCGCCGCACTCGTAGGCTCCCGGCACGAATCTTGGCCTCAAGTCCGTTCAGGAAGCGGTCCGCATCCCTTTTTCGGTCAGGATGCCTCATATCCAGCAGGCCACGTTCTGCAAGAGCTGAGACCGTGCCCTGTGCACCAGAGAGCCCGACTTCTTGAACAGACCCAGCACGAACTGCTCCGCCTAAGGACAAGCCGAAGCCAGCGCATGTGCACTTTCAATACTTGCCTGTGGAAGCCTGCAAGCACTCAGGCTTTGTGCACGCATTGCTCAATGCCAGTCGAATAGAGGCTCTGGCATTATGTGCAGGCTCCCAGGCCATCAAGTGCCTGACTCCAGGGCGAGGCATGACTGTGACTCTTGCATTCGAGTTTCGAGTTGCAGTTGCTCACTTCATGAAAATGCGAACCGTAGGGAATGACTGATAGACAGCCAAAGACGTCGAACTTCGAACCCTGACCTCCCAACCCCCCTCCCCGAGCACTGACAAACTGCTGCCGCTCATCTTCTCCGATTCTGCTGAGTACATACCGGTCGCTGATACAGACGTAATCTCTGGTGGGCATTGTCTTTCGCGAGGAGCACCTCCCTGTTTTCTTCTGCCATCCGCAAACACCATGATCCGTCGTCTCGGCTCTGGAAACTGCTGCTCAGCAGCATCCCAGAATAATTCCAAACTTCCTGAATACTGGAACGGCGCAGCTCTCTGAAACGGAGCTTCCACAAGGAATCGCCCCGTCTGGAGCAGCCTAAGCACGCTGCACAGCGATTGCTTCTACTGAAGCTGGCCACTGGCGACTTGTCTCAATACCTTCTTTAAGTGCACAAAAATCGTGCCCAACTCTTACCACCGGGCTGCTGGCCTGCAAGGCCGTCTTGAATTTGTTGAAGAAAGTTTGCTCAGTGGGCCGACGCATGCAAACAGCTTCAGGCTACTGCATCTGACACGATGCAGTATGGTTCGATAGCTGAACCGAAGGAAGATGTCATCCTCTAGGAACCGTCTTCCTTATGATTTCCGGAACAAGTGCTGCCATTGTGATATACAATAAAACCTAGCTCTGCATTTGACAGGCGAAGGATAAGCGAAGTGGGGCAGATGGTCTTCATCCACTCCCTTCACCGCGTGCTTTTCAATAAAGCCTCAGGGGAACTTTTCGAAGTCCTGGTCCTCACGGTGGTTGATGACGTCAGCTGCAACTGTGATAAGCACAATAATCGGACAAATGATGATGATGATGGTGATGATGTTAAGTATTACGTGCCAGATAACGCTTTATCACGAATGATCATGCGTAGAGTCAATGTAGAGTCTGGCAACTCTGCTGTGCCTCCTGAGGTCGCATGCTTGGCAGTCTGTCACCATGCAACGAGTCGGATCTTTGAACATGCATGATCATGTCGTGCGGAACGGACATGCCAGCAATGCGCCACCCCTGAACGAGCTACTGGATAAAAGGTTGGTAATGTCGAGGGGCCTCCCATCCCCATCCCAGACTCTCACGCCCCTTCGTCCTGAGGGAAGCGTCATCTGGCAGTTCTCAAGCCTTCAGCTCTGAAACCTGCCTCGAATCAGCGGGCACAGAACCAGTGTGGAGTTGAGTTGACTTGAAGCCGCTCTTAGTTTCGCTTTCATTGTTGTCAAGCAAGTGGTATACAATGACATCCAATGTTGCAACGGAGTCTTCCATGCGACATGAGTGAGGCATGGTGCGCCCTGGTCGAGGCCGTGTTGGGATACACCTTCGGGCTGCTATACTTTCAACCCCTTTGCCTCAGCATGATTGCTACTTTTGAAAGGTCTCTCACAATCAGCAGAAGTGCAGGAAGTCACGAAATGAACACACTTATGTGGTAGTCTGTCTACTGTTCATCAGTTCATCACACCATCAATTAAAAACACTGCAACAGTGACAAGTGTAGTGATATGACCGCAAACGAAGGCACCGACCAGCCTTTCGATGAATCTTTGGCAGGCGGGCGCTTTGGATCTCACAAGCGACCTCCTGCGGGCTGCTTTGATATACTTCGTCGTGTCACTATACCGACTCATACCGATACTGGCAATAGTAACAGTAGTTCTGTAGTAATGCAACCATAGCAAGCCTAAGAGTATGTCAAGGACGGTAAGAATGGCAGCAGCGAGCTACAGCTAAGCGCTACTACGGCACACCTTGTCCATGAAGCGGTAATAACTCGTGTTCCACCACCCCATGCGTCCGATGCTTTATACCTCGTCTGCCGCTGTACTATGCTGTAATGCTGGGTGACACTTTGCCGCTTGGAGGTTTTCCTGCTTACACCGTCGCTAAGACAAGTGCTGCACTCAGCAGTAGGTCAGTAGGATATGGGGGTTTCCAATAATAGGGGACCCTAATATAGTACCTTACATGTTAGGATCCTTATTATAAGGGACCCAAATTATTATTATTATTATTATTATTATTATTGTTATTATTATTATTATTAAGGGGTCCAAAATAAGGTACCCCTTACTTTCGGAAACTCCCATATACATCCAGGCTGTGCCTCGGGCACGTAGGCCATAAGGAGGACAGGTCTTCGGACCTCGGGTTGTTTTGGCGTCTGCTTTGGGTTTAGGGTTTAGGGTTTAGGGTTTAGGGTTTGAAGCATTAGATTTGCCCGGGTTCAATGCCAAGGCCCACTAGCGAAACACGCACCCGACATCAATGAGGTTGATGACTTTCGGCACTCACTCTCGCCCAAACCAACTGATAATTCTAGGGTGCCTCTGGTCCGCCTTGAATTCGAGTCACAGTGTAGATTCTGCAGCATGTGCGTAAGCCCCGGACGACCCTTGCATCGCCGAAATCCAGCTGTGATGCTAAGGGTGGCAGGGACCCATCTTGCTTCTTGACCTGAAGCGGAAGGGAAAAGCATAAATTCCTGACAACTTCCTTCGCGAGGGTGGCAGCGCATGTGCATTCAGTGACCGTGAACTTCAGTCTTACTAGGATCTGCTGCGCTGATTGACATCCCGCCATCATGGAAAATTGCGCATGAACCTGGCCGGACCGCATGATGCGTGAGTCATCAGCGCCCATCCAACATATCCAAATGCACCCCTTCAAACACGAGCACTTCTAGAAAAGCTGCTCGCTTACAACATGAAACTCTGTCCATAACATGCTGGTGCCGCCGACCGCAAGATTCTTCCGTCGCTGTGCGCGAAACGCATCACACACGACCACGCGCCGAAGAGTTTCAGCTCAAGTTCAATCCAGGCACAGGTCTGCGTCGCCGGCAGTTGGCCCAGGTGCGAAAGGCCGGGTGGAGGTCTCCGTCTTTCCAGCTCCCGGCCTGGCACGAAGAGCGCTGAAGCTTTTTTCATTTTGTCAGCATTGCATTTCAATGCAGCTACTCTCGCCACTTGATCGTGCAAGCCTATGCCCTGCAGCATTCAATAACTCCTCTGTAAGTGAACTCATTGTTGCAGGTATACGTGCCAACTCTGGCTGCGTGGAACTCGGAGAGTCAAGGAGCCACCACTATGAAACATGTGCAAGAACCCCCAGCTTCCATGTGCAGTGCACGAAGCAGACTGTTCAAGGTTCCCTGCCTCCAAAGCCTTAGCCACAGTTTGACCTGCCAAAGGCTTGGGCTCTCACACACTGTTTGGGGATAGCCCCTGCTAGCTTAAAACACGCGCTGTCAGCCCGATAACTCACGCTGCTGCGGAAAACATGTCCTGGTAGTCGCTGAGACCAGAACTTCTATACTAAGGGCTCCACAAGGGCTCTGTCAGGGTCTAAGATAATGGGTCCACAAGGGCTCTACCAGGGTTCTATTATATTATGAGCGTCTTAACGGAGTTGTGGCTTTCAGGGTTTGTTGGTTGTTGATGATGAGGGGTTTTCGCATTTCGGGATGTTAGCATGCACTGAGCATGCATGTCGGGGATTTAGAGGTCTGAAAAAGGCATCTTGTGAGGTTGGTGCCACAAAACCAGTATGTATTATCTATGTTGATGTATTAAATGGGAGTATCATAGCTTTACTCCCACCTTGGCCAGGACCCGCCAACTCCTCTGAGACGCTGTCTTGCCCTGTTTTGATGATGCCTCGCTCGGGCTTGCTGTGTCTGGGGTTGTCGGCAAATCTCGACCACGCTTGGCGATGCAGACAGCCCTTCTAAGCCAGCTTCTCGTCAGTCAAACTTCTGATGAAGTCCCACGGTTCACGCAGGCAAGAGGCTGGGCAATCGCGACATCGAGTCGGCCGCCTTCTCCATATCGGCCTGCACGACAGTCTGCATAGAGTTCCAGGTACGTGACATGATACCGACAGCACGTGTGTATAGAAGTCCAGTGCTGACAAGCTTCTTCAGTCTGAATGGCCCAGCGGTCTAAGAAGACGACTTCCTGGAATAATCACTGTTGAACAGCTTTGGGACATCCGCAAGCGAAAAATGTGCAACACATCTTTGGGTTCTCAAGCTTCTGGTGTCAAGAGAGACTGCAGCATGCCATGTCAAGTCGTGGCTCGTCTATTGTCAATGCGCCCGTACCCGTACCGTCGAGGATATTGAAGAGGCCTTTCCTTGGAAAGCCAGCTCAAGTGGTCAGCAGCAGTAGCAGTAGCTGTAAAAGTAGTAGTAAAAGTAGTAGTAGTAGTCGTAGTACTAGTAGTAGTCAGATGTTCAAAAGATCTGATGTATCACAAATACATAAAACGTGGCGTCTTAATAAATAGGGGGACGAATGGGGATACTAATGGTCTTCTGGAAAACGTAAGCCCAAAAGCAAAACACAGACCTCCCACATGTTGTGTGAGGCAATCGCATCCGACTGCACACAAATTGTGTCTAGATCACCCCAAGCATGCTTTCGCTTCTCAAGCAACGGTTAAAGCTCGCAAAGGCTCAGATTGCCACGAAACCCATATATGCGGCATGCTCTCTTGAACTCCTTCAGAGACAGAGATTTGGAGCCATCCTCATCGAAGACCTGAAGTCTGGGTTGGATGTACCGGACCACCCCATCCAGTTCATGGGAAACGTGCTTCCGCTATACATCCAGGGCAGCGATAGCAGATCACAAAAATTGCGCGGGGGCGGTGTTATTGGGTGTCATTGTGCTTTTGGTTTCCCTGCCAGTTGCGAGACGAGGTGCGGAAAACATCGATCGTACGCTGCCAAACTCCTCCATCGCCCAGTTTCGGAAGTCCTAAGTTGCAGGCGCTACGATTGGGAACTTATCTATGCACAAGTTCAACCTCCAACCGGATGGTTAGACACTCCCTTCTCCCCAATGGGACCCATACCGCCATGTGGCACGTAGCAGCTGCACGCAGGATTGGCAGCAATACACTCACCGGTGAGTTTCCGTCTCTCATCGCCTCTCTCACATAACTGCCGTCGAGCATATCTGACTCAGTCTCTCTCAATGAAGGTGGAATCTCGTTGCATCACCAAATGGCCAGGAGTACGGAGCTGGAAGCTGGGTCGATGTCGGACAGGTTAATCGTTCCTCCGGCTTCTCTTCGCACTCTGTCACAGTCTGGGCAAACGACCATGCACAATGCCAGTACAAAGAAAAAGTGATGCGGTCGAAGGCTATCCTGCCATTTTCTGATCAAGCGCTCTCCAGGCTCCAGCGATGTCGTGCTTGAAACCTCACTTGCACCATGAGCATTGGCAAATGTATGTGCTCACGGCTGCGCACGCTCTCGGATCTGTGGTGTGCAGAGCAAAGGCACCAATCTTTTTGCAGGTAAGTCGGAACTCTTCCCAAGTGCCTTAGCATTGGAACACCTCATGACTCAACATGCATAATGCATGGCACAGCCAGTGCAGCAACCTCTGCTTGCGGCTCAGTGGCACGTGTTGCTACCATCCATGTCCAAGACCCTCAGCATGTTGTGGTTCTGGGTGAGGTCAGTGGACGTTTAGTAGTCATTTCTGATTAGGAACGCTCGTGCAGCTGGCAGCATGTGGCAGAATTCTCCACCGAACTCACCGCTGGCGGGCCGCAAAAGCGCCTACGAGTATCGTCGTTTCTTGTCCATCTTGGCACCTCCCGATTGGGGACCCTTAAACACGTCGGTGGCAACAGCAAACCAACAAAGACTGACAGCAACAATAACACCTGCGCAGCATTGGCAGCAGCAGCGGCAAAAGCAGCAGCAGCAGCAGCAGCAGCAGCAGCAACAGCAAGCAAGAACAGCAAGCCAGCGGCTTCCACTAAGCTTTTCTGGAAGCCCAAAAAACCCATGTGGTCAACAGCACAACCAAAAAACCAAGACAGCAGTTGAGGTATAGTACTGGCAGGCAGTAGGAATGATCATCATCATGGTCGTTGTCCGCGTCCCCGTCCCCTGTTGCCGCCGCTTATGTCGTCCGCAAAGTTAGCGACACCGGCATACTTGCCACCATCACATTATCATCGTAACAACCGGGCACTAGCCGTGACAGTAGGAAGTACAAGGTACTGATACTGTCACTGTTGATCACCGTATCGAGTACAGAAGGCAAAGTATAAGTAAGCAGCAAGACTGACTGATGCCTGTCGACTGAACTCAGTTCCAACGTGGCAGCCCAGTCACATCTTCCAAGCACGGAGAAAGGTCCCAAACTTCTCCCGGAGTCTCACGCAGGGCCACGACGGTCACGGCTGAAGCTTATACGACAACGCCGTGACCGAAACCCACCGCATACAGCATGTCATCAGAGGCTGTGTTCTAACACGCTACGCCACTGGAGGCCAGTCTCGTGTACTATGACTATAGCACATATGTGTCTTACTTGTCCCGCCCTGCCAGCCTGTTTTTGAAGTTCTGGGCTGACTCGAGACTCGGGCTGGCAAGCAGGAACTCCATGGGCTTCCAGCTGTCTAGAAACAGGATGTCCTGGCAGCCAGGTCGTAGTATGCGAACATAGCTATGGCTGCTGTTTTGCATGTTTCGTGACTATTGCGCTGATCGATGGTTCTCATGATCATTCCAGCGGTGAGTGCAACTCGAGCAAACGAAGCGGTTCACCAGCCACCCGAATACCGGAAAGTCGAGTAGGCTGAATGTTCGTGAGCTTCCGAGTTGTGCTCGCACTTAATTGCAGCTTTTAGGTTCAAGGTCCACGCGTGCATCAATCACAACCTCGACGTGTTCTGTCATTCTCTGTCCTCTAGGTTGATCTTCTTCTTGCCGTGTCTGTCCAGCCTTACACCGTCACACACCGACACGTCGGACGCGAACACATCCCCAATCGAAGCAATTTGTGCAGAGGGGCCACATTCTCATGCCCGTGCTAAATGCCTTCGGACAGATGTGAGAGAACCACTTGTACGGAGCCACCTAATCCACCGCCTAGGAGCGCATGGAACAAATGTTTGTCCCGTTGTTCGTAGCCGAACTCCTTCAGTGCCTGCAAGAACTCCACCTCGCTGACGTTCCTTCAGGCCGTGTGCAGCTTTTGCTGCTACTAGCAGTAGAACTGGTAGTGGTAGGGTTGTAGTAGTCATCACACTAGTGGTCGTAGCAGTAGCAGGAGCAGCAGCAGCAGTAGCAGTAGCAGTATGTAACAGTAGTAGTAGCAGTAGCAGACCAAGACTGCCTAGGATTGCCAGCAATCTTGCAATCTTGGTTTAAAACTTAGTAAGCTAGTCGGCGAGCAAGTGGGGCAAGATGACCAAGATTATTCCACCAAATAAGTGTTGTAAATTCCTCGGCACAAGTAGTAGTAGCAGCAGCAGCAGCAGCAGCAGCAGCAGTGTAGTAGTAGTAGTAGTAGTAGTAGTAGCAGCAGCAGCAGCAGCAGCAGCAGTAGCAGCAGTTGTAGCAGTAGCAGTAGCAGTAGCAGTAGCAGTAGCAGTAGCAGTAGCAGTAGCAGTAGCAGTAGCAGTAGCAGTAGCAGAAGAAGAATGTAGAAGTATTTGTCGTGTGGTGGTGGTGGC